AAAGAGAAACCTCACTGATGAAGAATGAAGTTGACATGGACAATGCAGGAGAGTAAAGATGGAAGAACAGAACAGCCAGCAGAGGTTCGGTTTCTGATAAGCTACATTGCCTGGTTCCTTCACTGGTTTTACCAGTGTCTGCTTTTAGCCCTGGAATTGTCTTATTTCCTTACTTTACAGGATTCTGTTTACTTTCAAGCAATGAACTTTGAGTGATATAGGTTGACTCCTACAAAATAATCTTTGGCCTTAACAACCCACAGTGGTGAAGCTCAATTTTATAAAATAACATAGGCTCCTTTACCTTCAAGCATAAAATGAGCACCTTCACAGACATGTAAAATTGGTGCCAGTGACATTTTTGGATTATACAAAGAGAAGACACAAGAAAAAAATTACCATTCACAAACTATTTCTTTGCATCTTTCTTGTGTGGTTAACATTAGTTGAAGTCACTAGAAGCTGGGTAAATCTTTCAAGACAACTATGCTAGCTCCTTGCTAGGATATCAGTATAAACATATTCTGTGCTCTTTATTAATTAGAGTAGCATCTTAGCTACCTTTCTTATTGCTAAGACAAAATACCCATTACTCAAGTTAAGGGAGGAAAGGTTTATTGTAGCTCACACTTTGTAGGGGTTTCAGTTGACAGATGGATGGCTCCAAGACAGGGTGGCACAGCCGAGGGGCACCACAAGGAAAACAGTTTATGGTGGGCAAAAGGCAGCAAACCAGCAAAGTAGTGAAGCAGCAGCAGTAGCAGCCTGCCTCTCCCTTTTATCCTGTCCAGGTTTCCCACCCTTTTGGTGGTGCCCTGCCCAGCCAGGGTGGGCCTGCCCATTATCCACACCCAGAACTATGCTAAACGAATCAGTGGACTAATTTAGTAATCACACACCCACAATCCAAGCATCACACATTTGATCCCAGCATCACACACCCTAGATCCAGCCACCTCTGAAAAGCCTCGTGTATGACCACATGAGGATTTGGGGGACATCTAGACACAAGCCATAACAAGTAGTTTGTAGGATAAGCTTCAAATACAAATATCAAGAAGAAGTGAAGGAAAAGACCCATTATCATTTACAACATCACCAAGTAATTCCTATAGGAAGGAAAGCCAAAAGTTAAGGTTAAGGTTAAGTTAAGTTAAGGTTAAAAGTAAAGTTAAAAAGTTAAGTTAAGGTTACAAAAACCAAAGAAGATGGAGTAGTACCATTGCTACCTTAAAATATCTTTGTCTCTTCTTAGATATCTTGTGCTATTTGTCAGCATCTTCATTTATTTTGCCATCATGTTGTCTTACTACAAATTGTTATATCACCGTAACACAAGCCGGATGCTTCTCTATAGCTTTGTATTTCTCCTACTGATAATAAATAGATACATATTATAGTTTCTAGCAGCACACACCAGTATCATTTTCAGTAATGCACTGTGACTTCCACAACCTTTGCAAAAGCTTACTTGGTTTTGATTATTCCAGATCATGGAATTTTCATGTCTGGAGGCCTCTTGAGTAGACTGAAATATCTGGTTCCTCAATGCCATAATAATAAATCACCTGGTGACACTATGTAAATGACTACTGCACTTTCTAATAAATTTCCCATTGTTCTCTACAGTGCTGAATCTCCAAAGATACAGCTTTACTTGGTCTGATCAGGGATCTGATATATTACCCAATAAAAGAGATATACTGCAGAATTATACTTTAAGAGCTCAGAAACAGGAATTCTGTCCTTTGCTTATTGATAGAATTTGGTGTGGAACCTGTTCTTCTAGTTTATGTGGCACAATTATTTACATCTAATGCCTACATTGTTGTCTTGAATGTTTAGGCTGAACTGATAATTTCTCATCTAAACCATGTTACTTTTCCAAGTTAAAAGGTGCCGGTCATTAGACTAGGATGCACAGCAAAAATTAGCATTACAACTACTACATTAAGATATATCCTAATCCTAGCGCTTATGTGTGTAAAAGTTGTAATGAGGAATTTGAATGGTTTCATTGTGATTTCTTTGATCCCTAAAATTAAAATGATAAACCGATAGACCATCTCTTAAAAGTAAGAGACAAAGTGTTCACAAAGCAAACAGTTCTTCATTCATACCACTTCTGTTTCTACTCTTACCTCTATTTTTGAACTGGTCGCAAGATATTGCAGTTCTTGTTCTATGACTCTGTCTCTTTTACTATATTCAAGTTAGGTCAGATAACATTTTCCACATTGTTTGGCACCTAGAAGGAATCTAGTGATTGTATTTTGAGTGGAAATTAGTTACATAAAAATGAATAGAAATGAATAGGCTATGTTAAGCACTTTACATTTTTGGCAGCATTAATAAAGACAGGATTGTGCAAGAGACATGGCGTGTTACGTGTGATGTACTTACATGAACATAACACTGTGTAGCATGTTGGCATAGAACTGTTTATATGGTTCATTCAGTAACAGTGGATCCAAACTGAAGGAGGGACCCAGTGCAGTGGTTAAGAGGATGAACCCTGGAGAAAACTTCCTAGGGGTTCAAGTACAGACTTTACACAGCAGTGCACCCACCAGTTCCATGATCTTGGAAAAATCAATGTCCCTGAATTCTGTCTCATTCTCTAAAATGAAACTGCCAGCAATGTACTTCTCTCATGGCATTCTGACAAACAAATGTTAATTCACATGAAGAGCTTGCAACAGGACCCAATACATTATAAATGTTCCATATAATACAGCCTTGCTGTTGATATCATTATTATTAAAGATTGAACCTCACATGCACAGATCAATGGACACACACACACACATACACATGCTTTACTCAAGACTACAAATCAATGCCTTGCTTATTTGTGTTGTAAGTATTGTGCTTTAATAATTTAAGAACAGGAATAGGATAAGTAGCCCAAGTAATTCACTGAAAATATACTCACTGGCTTAAACTGAAATATAGGTTTGACTCAACATATTAAAGAGTATTAAACAAACATGAAGAAAATGTATAATCTCTTATCTTCTATCTTGTTTTCTTTTCCAAATTTCAAAGATTGCAAATATATTTAGGATATTTCCACTTGCATTTATGTCAGAAATAAATGACATGTTCTTTAACCTTTGTTCCTTTTAGGTAAGTATCATTATAGTTTTACTTAAAATGAAAAATTCATATGCATTGTGAAAGAAAGACAACTGAATCCCCCAAGATTAATTTATTAATTGGGAATTAATTTATTGCAAAGAAAAATATGCAGTATTTACAAAAGTTTATAGAATAACTTAAATGTGTTATATTTTCTTTTATATTTCATTTTTGGCTATTTTGAATTTTTTTAAAATTTTACTTTACTAGTACTTGTATACAGTACAGAGGGTTTACATTCATCTTACAGAGTAGGTACATGTACATGTGCATAAAGCTATTTTATGTTAGATTTTTATGTCTATTACTTAAAATATTTTACAAACTCTTACATAAAAGCCTGCTGCATAAAATAACTAAAAGTAAATTATGAATTATGTTGGTTGTTACCAGAGAATATTTCTATCCTCTTATGATGAAATTTAAGTACCATCTCTGATTTTTGATATTATATTTTACAGAACGTGTCTTCAGGAAATGTTCAATTTGTGATAACACAGAGCCAAGTTAACTAATACAGGATGTTAATGAATTCTACAATGCAGTAGACATGTGCTTGGCTTGTACACTATTATATGGCTTTTACTTATATTTATTACATGTCCTATTTTCTTAGGACTCAGCCTATTTAGGGGCTTAAAATATAGGCATATTTTTGCGTTATCATTTTAATTTTGTACTTAAGCCTGGTGAGATGAATCTCATCAAGAATAGGAGAAACCTTTGAATTTTACATACAATTCTAGATATAGCATTTAAATGTTACTATGTATCTATCATTTATTGGATGTCATACCATGCATGTGTGCTTGTGTATGTGTATGTAGATCAGACAAATACTTTTCTATGGAAAATCCGCTGTTTATTTTTTCTAGTTTGCTTCCCTAAAGGTTGACATGCACAACAGGTGTGAAATGGAGTGTTCAGCCTTTTGCAAAGGGCACGGCAGCAGCTGGGAAGATCGTGTTTCTTGCACTTTATACCTTGTGATGTTTGTTGGTTTTTAAACTACTGAGTTCGTTCATATGAAAGCATATCCTGTGATGATAATTTTCAACAGAGCTGTAAATAATATATTATTGTTCGTTTCACACATAATATGTATATTATTTTCTGAGATACAGAATGGAGATAATAGTTCATGTGTGAGGAAGAATTTGCAAATACAGAAAATCAGTGTATTTGTTAAGGAAAATGGAAAGAAAAGATTGCTTCTCTTCCCGCGTTTCAAATGCACTGCACCGCAGTGTCTCCCTTGTCCACATTCTTTTTGTCTTTTAAAACTTACCTTCAGAAGTCTACTAAAACGTCGTATCTTTGATTTGGTTAAGTTGATTCAGGTTTAAATCAGACCTGGGAGTATGCTGTCTGCATTTCACAGGCTGGGAAGGCGGGAGACATCATTATAACTCAGTTCCATTCACAAATACTGACTTAGAATTCCTACAAACCAGACTTTAGAAGTGAGATGCAGGAAGAGAAAACCTTTCTCCCTGTGATAAACAAGCAGACAGTTCAGTCCAGGTAGGTTGGCTAATGTTCTGGGCATGCAAGGCAGAGGTTAGTTATAAGAGAATGAAAATAGAGAGACTCCACACACAGAAAGAGTAGGATACTACAAAAGGTTGGAGACTTGAGCTGTGCATGAAAAAATATATGGAATTGGGTATGAAAAGAGAGGTAAAGATAACTGAGGGTGTCCTCTAGGCCGAGGGATATACACAAAGTCACACTGCAGAAGTAAAGTCATATGCTGGAAGAAAGTTGTTTTCTACATAGCTTAACTACATAGCACTTGAGAAATAAGTGAGAAATAAGCCTGGATGGTTTGTATCTGGAAAGAACAAAAGAGGCACCAATTTCAACCAAGAAGAGAAGTTTAATGAGGCATTTAATCCGCTACAATATCAGATCTTAGAGACCTCACAACCAAATACAAATGCTTTCTTCCCAATCCACTCTTGAGGGATCCATGTCTCTCTCTCTGTATTATCATGAATATAATGAAGTGGGTACATCAGAAAACAAGGTTTAAGGATTTTTAATTCAATTTTCACACAAAGTACTGTTTCATATTAAAAAGTGAATGTACTATGTATGTATTTAACAAGTATAGAAATGATGTAAAATGAAAACCTGTACTGTTCAAAGAATTTTTTGTTTAATAAAGCTTTACCACACTACAATAAAGACTTTTCTTATAAAATATGTGTACATTGAAAACCCAGTGAAAATTTTTTGAAAAGATTTTGAGAAGCTGACAGACATATCAGACCAATGGCTAACTCTATTTTTAAAAGACAAAGTAAATTATGATGTCTGGATTTTTATTATTTTTTCCTGAAATGTAAAAAAGGTATAGGAATTTAGTGAAATAACTAAAAATAATGTTTTAGTCGTTCTTCCCCTATAGGTACCTGGCCATGGCACTATCTGGAGGACATGGCCTGTTATGGTGACTTTAAACCTTGTTGCAGAATTTAAATCAGTCTTCTTTCTCAGCTCCACAGAAATGGGCCAAGACAGGATTCAAATGACAATAGAAGATCCCTATTGCATATTTCAATTTCCATATTCATTCAGTGAAAACTGAGAAGTCAAATGCTATACAAGAATTCAGTAGATGGGCCTACCTACGTCTTTACTAGTTCTGGGAGGGTGTTTTTTTTTTTTTTTTTGCAGGGGGGGCTTTGTTTGCCTTTTTAGCTTAAGTATGTGCAAATAAGAAGCCTAAGAAACAAGACAAAAGACTTTTGGATGTGAGATAATATTCAGTACTGGAAAATATATTATTAAGAGAACACTATGAATGCTTTTGAGGAAAAAAAAAAACAAAATAGTTCTTTCCCCAAAATGGACTGGATATGTTTAAATTTTCCATTTAACTACAAGACCAGTTTAAAATGACAAGTAATTCTGTTTCTTTCAAAATATGGCATTAAGGATATAAATATTAATATTCCATGAAATAATCCCCCATCCAAATATTGACTCTCATCCTGATAATGTGGTTCCATTCACACAATTTTCATCACTATCGAAGGGTCAGGGCCATCTTAATGTTCTTTTCCTGCTGGTTGAGTAATCACTTGTCACACCAATAGTTTACACAGATGTGAATTTTTAAAAGGTAAGTCTTTTTACTACCAACTAATTTTTAGGGTTTTCTTTCTAATAAAACCTCAAGATGATCAAAACGATGTTCTTATTTTGGGTTTTCACTCAATTTATGGATGAGATTTGTCATGCACTTCTGTCAGCTCCCCTACAACTTGCTTTTTTGGTCCTAAACTGAATACGGTGACATATAGTTTAGGTAGCTATGCCTAAACTAACAAATGATGACCTCTAACAAAATAACTCAGGGCCAAATACGCATGAGCCAATCCTTTATGCTGTTCTTCCTGAGATTTTCTTCTCTTGCCCAACTCAATGAAGTGACCAAAACAGGTTACAAAATGCTATGTCTTCATCCAGCAATAATTTCTCAAGTTTATATGACTTCATCTAAATTTCCATATTAGTATTTTTTAAAATAAGTTTTATCATCAATTCTTTCTTCACTGCATGCAAAAAAACCCCACACAATATAATATTTTAAATCTTTTGAAATTTCTTATTCTTCTTGTTATAAATATATGCAAAGGATTGGAAGGTCTTTTACCAAAAGTCATATTAAAATATTTTTAAAAGTTATATTGTTCTTTTATGGGAATAATTTGTTTGGTCACCTGTGTTCACAAAGTAGTGCGGTATTCATTGCATTAGTGTGATAGAAATATTGACTAAAACTCTTAAAAAAGTAGAAGAAATAAGAAATACTAAACTTGATTCCACTGTTATATAGAATTGTCAATAAAATTATCAGAACAGCAATTTTAGAGATAATTTCTAAGTACTGCTTCACAGTATTCTACTACTACTTAATGGAAACGTGCTTTTCCAAAAAATCAAATATTCGTTCTAAGTTCCACTTCAAGATATTTATATTTGGTCAGCTAAAGAGGTAAAGCTAAGCACTCACTTTCAACGATACTTGAGAGTACCTTGCAGTGAGTGGATTAGGGAACAGTTGTATAGCTAATGACAAGGAAATCGTTGACTAGCAAATGAAAGTCAGTTTAAATGTGTCATTCTTATTTTATCTTTTCATAACTGTACACCTCTTTGTGGGGCGATGTGTGTACAAACTACCTTCTGAATTTACTTCACAGGAAATGGACTCTATTCTTTAACTCTGAAGATCAATGTTAGATGTTTTATTAAATAAATTGCTATGAAAAAAGAATCATTCAAACAGGCTCCTTCTGTGTGATATTCTTATAATGCTTCAGCAGAAAGGATCATCCCTATTCCCAGAAGCAGCTTGCAAACTATCAAAGGAAATACTACACCAAGCACAGAGCACACCATTCTGCCTGCTACAGCCTTCTATATATAGTTGAAATAAATTGTGTATAAATTTGTGCACTATTCCTTCCTAATGATTATTTCTATTATTTCACGCCTTTAGCCATAATTATTATTCTTCAATTCTTTAATTATTTTTCAATAGATTTCCACACATTGATTTAGCTACTAAAATTTTGAGTGATCATTTCATAACTGGATAATCATATAGTGATTATCACCAAAGACTAGGAGTTTGCTCACTAAGTTCATTTTGCAGGACTCTCTACTGTCTTACCATGAGGAAAAGATTAAAGCTTCATTTGGGGATAAAAATACTACCACATAGAGCAAATGGTTCATTTGGATATCTTTTTTATTATTATCAGTTAATGCCTTATACTTTATAGATACAAAGTCACTGTGAAACAATGCTTGTGGAACTTTTAATTTAAATTTTCAACCCTCAGTAATAGTTGATATTGAAATTTTTCAGCTGTGTTGCAGTCTCCCTTTACAAGACAAAAATATTGCTCAAAGACAGACCACTCACACAATTTTGTCTAGTTAGAAATTAATTTCCCATTTGCCTTAGTGTTTGTCAAATTTGGTTTATGTTTAATGTTCTGGTTTGGTAGGTAAAAGATACATGTGTATAAGGTATGATTCAAGTGAACGTAATGTGTTTCTTCAATTTAAGTTTATATATTTCTATTGGTTTTTAAAAAGTATGAAATAGAAGTTGAAGTATGAAATACTGTTAATATGTTACAGTGGTAAATGGAAATTTCATGGGCAATTCCAAAGAATGAAAAAAAAAAAACCTTTTGCCATCGTCCATGCTTTATCTATTTTTAAAAACCACAGGGGGAAAAGTGCTCACGGGAAAAAAAATGAAGCTTTCCTGTGAAAGAAATGAATGCAAGAAATAGCTCTTTAAGTAGTGAAGAGACGTGAAGCATTGCAACTTCATAGCCTGCTAAGGAGCAACAGCTGTACCTAATTTCAACTTGACGTGCTTCAGATCTCATATTCATATAGGTATTTAATGATCCAAACATAATGGTCCTATATAGAATAATTACTTATATGAAGGAGCAAACTTCATACGCATTCCTTTGTAAATGATCCTTCAAGAGAAAAACTGCGCTGGCTCTTTGAACAATGAATAGTCTCTTTCACCAATCCAAATTGTTGGGGCTAAATAGCTTATCTTTTAAGAAAGATTAGTAAGAGCGCCAAGGTTACTTCTTTTGGACAGATTCTCTTTGCCTCCCCTCTTCCCAGTACAACCAGTACAATGAAAAAATGTAGAATGCCAAGCCTATCATTAGGTCGTACTGATAGATGGTTACAAGAAATATCAGAAATAGAAGAAAATAAGGTATTTTAGAGTTGGCATATTTTGAAAACAGAGACTCATTGCTCTGAGCTTCACTCTCCTGGACGGGGAAACTAGCCGAAGTAGAGCTCTCAGATGCTTGCTCACCTGAAGGATACTGTGAACGTCCAGAGCTCAGTAATCCTTCGTTTTCCTGCCTTGCTTCTTCCGTATTCTCAGGAGGTTCGCTGATTAAAATCATTGGCCCTGCAGATTTCTCCACACTGCGTTCTCCTGGTTGGGAAACCCGCCCCGCACGTCTTTCTTCTCCACAACCTGATGACCTTCCTGAACTTGGGGAAGCTTCTTTGGGCTTAGACCCAAGGTGACCCTGAACTTCACTTGTGGCACAATTATTTTCCGATTCAGCTGAAGTCGATTGGAGATTTATGGTGGTGACTGTATTCTCTACAGCCTGTTCGTGAGCAGGCGCTGAAGTTTTTAAATGGTGACCGGAAATGTGAGGGCCGTTCTGCGAAGCTCTGTTAGCACCTGAGTTAAAAGCAGAATGGACAGCAGCTTCTAGGTCTGCTTTCTTTGATAATTTTTGCACATGCCCAAGATTGCTGTTTTCTGCAAATGTTCTTTCGCCTGTTGATAACACTTCCAAGTGTGAATCCAAGTTTGAGGTTTCCTTTTGATTGCTTGTAATGACCTGGGAAGATTCTTCTGCAGATGTTGTATTTCCAGCACCGAATTTCTCCCTGTCATGTGTCTCGCCAGGACTGTACATATGCATGGATCGCTCCTTCTCTATTTCCTCTGCACGTACATTACAAATATCTGAGTGTGATTCCTTCTCAAATTCATTGTCATAGATCACACCTGCAGTATCTCGTTGACAAAAGCTATAATGTGAATCATCATCTCTCCCTTCATGTGGATCAAACGCAGTTTCTTTTACCTCGATGGGCCTGTCACATCGTGCTGTCTCTTGAGGTAGCTTAGCAATTATTGCTTTTTCGCTAGCAGACATGCTTTCTGGAGTACTTTCTGATGTTGTCTTAATTATATAAGCCGCACCTGCTTGTGCTTCCTCGGTAACACCATGATCAGTGAGAGAATACAGTGCATCACACTCCGTTTTTTGGCAGGTAAACAGCTCTTCTGTAGGAGTAGCACTCAAACTCGTGTTATCTCCTTCCCCACACATGTCTTCACAATCTGCTTGTCCTCTGATCTGCTCGGCTATATTTGCCTTATTCCCTGTTACCTTTTCCTGGCTTTCTCGACTATTCTGATCTTGTTTATGCTGTGAGTTTTTACCCCGATCTTCAGGATTAATCCAATCTGATTTTTTTTCTTCAACTTGGAAAAGATAATCATCTCTCAGAACGTTTCTGTGTTTTGATGAACGGACTTTAGTAATTATCTCTTCTGAATTCATGCCTTCACCAGTGGAGTGATCACTCTCCAGAACTGTTAGTGTAGTTTCTTCCCAATTTAAATCTGTCCTTGATGAAGGAGATGTATCTACTGCTATTGCCTGGGCAGGGATTGAGGTATCTTTTCTTAACAGATCTACTAAGTCTTTCTTCCTAGCTTCAATCCCTTCCATGCTTACTTCAGAGTAGCCCAATTTTCTTTCTTGGTCATGCAAGGATGACTGAAAATTTTTGCTTTGTTTTTTATTAACACCTACGTGCACTCTCTGTTCTTTGTCACCTTTCACCTTGCCGTAATCTTGCTTTGAAGATCCATTTTCTGATGGTCGTTCAACATACTCATATAGACCTGAATGGAAATCTCTACTTAAACATTCTTGATCCTTTATGTCACTTTTCTTAGCTCCTCCTTCATGATTTTCATTAAGACCGCCAGCCACTCGTTGATCCAGGGAGGAGCAAGATATTCTCAGTCTGCCACTCCTGTGGGCAGGATTAGCACTGTCATCCAGGACTTCCTCGCTACCCAAGCGCACTTGCACTGACTCATCAGCATTGGTACCTTCCAGCGCTGGTTGGATTTCTTGCATATCTGAAGTCGCATCCTCTGAAAGTTGATGACCATGTTCATTTCTTGAGGAATGTTTCTCACTGTGGTAAGAATCTCCTTTTAAGGAGCTTTCTACTGATGAAGGCCTTTCGAATGAATCAGTGCAGAGTTCACCATGGATTTTCTTCTTCTCTAACCCCTCAGCCTTATTTGGGAAATTGACTGGATCTGATGCAAATGTATCCTTTCCATCCCTGGAAGCAGCACTTCTGGTTCTTATTAAGTGTTGATTTATCTTATGGGACAAAAACAACAGAAAAATAATGACCATGTGATCCTTTTAAATATACAGAATGAATGAGATAGCTTTTATTAACTCTGTAATTATGTGGTAGATATATATTCTTGACTCACTGCATGTGGGGATTTCATACAAACTCTGGAAGCCAGGTGTTTTGGGGAGATCCTTGTAGGTTCTGACTTGGGAATGATATTAGTGAGAGAAGGGGCCCAAATTAATCACTCTCTTTCCCAGCCTCCAAATATCCCATTGTATTATTCAACTATTCTTGCTTGTCATTGCACTTTCTCCTCACTTAGGATATACACATTGATAGCTCCATGCTAATCAATTAGAGAGCAGCTTCCTGGGTGCTCCGTGCTGCATTTACACTTGCTGTAGGTGCCCCCATTACAGTTTCTCTTATTAATATGTTTTCTGCAAAGCCTCTGCAAACTATTAATAGCAAAACGTCACTCAAAGAAAAGTGAGGGAGTTAATGTCTCTGCAAATTCTGTTTTAATGACCCTCTGCCAACTGGTACTCAAATGTATTTGAGCTCCTGAGTGATGCCAACTGTCAGGATTTAGCAGTGAGATGCCTGTGTTTTTTTTTTCTCTCCTCATAACTGACATTTGCATGATCTCAATAATTATATGCAAATCTTACGTTTTCCCCTTCTTCTCACATAAGGCTCATGTTACTTGTCAACTGCACAGCTGTCTTCTAAGCCAATGCCTGTGGCTTCCCAGATTTGGTTGTATTTCCATCTATTATAGAGCTTCATTGTTTTATGCATTAACGTCAGCATGGAGCAAATTAGCATCTAAATTACAGCTCAGTGTTCATTTATTGGACATACAATCTCAGTAAGTTCTAAACAAACTTTTATATTTCAGCCTGCTCATTGTAATGAGGGATATTGGTGAAGTATGTGATTTTTTTCGAGGTCCTTTCATTATATTCTGTGGTTTGAAAAAAAAAATGGCAATGTTAACTTTCAGCTGGTGAGAATTCTCACAACGGGTGACAACTTTGTAGTTTCTTAAAGTTGGAGCAAAGTAAATTGCATACGTTAGTGATGCGGTTGCCATATCACTATAGAAAAGGCAGAAAATGTGGGGAAAGAGATGAGCTCTATTTCTCATGTTTCAGCCTTGACACTTGAAGAGGCAAATGTCGTTTTAATCTTAGATGATTATGAATCCAGGTATCCCAATGATATGAGCTCCAACCAAATACAATAAAGGGTAAATTGAATTATGTGACTCATTTACTTCTATTTCTTTCTTTGTGGTAAAAGTGCTATCTAAATCATCCCCCCCAAAAAAATTCCAAATAGAGTGAATGTTCACGAAACAGGAGATTTATCATAACAAACTTAATACTAAAGTGTACAGCACTGAATTTGTTACCTACTTAAAAATTATGGTGCAAGGCTATTTTCTTCTCACTTGCTAATTTAATATTTAACAATGATACAGGACTTTGAGATTTGCACAAGGATGGGAGTACAACAGTGCAGTAAAATGCAAGAGTTATAGACTTGTAGAGTTGGATAGGACCTAATAATGATCTGCCCGGGACTCTCATTTTACAGATGAGTTTGTGCTAAGTGTACACTTGTCACAAAGATTAGAAATGCACATCAGGATAGTGCTGCCTCTCCTACAGCTCCTACAAACTGTTACTCAGAGCCACCAGTAAAAAGATAAGAAATGAATGTCATTAATTTACTACCGCAAAGACCAGAAGCAACATCCTGACATCCAAATGACGTGTTGATCGAACTAGAGAATTAAGGGCAGGATAACTGTGCCTTCACACTTGCAGATGATATTAGCTAAAGCAATCTGAAGGTAGGAATCGCAGCACCTTGAAAGCACAGATGGATGCATCTCTCTAATGCCATAGCAACCAGAACACTCACCATCAACTCTAGTCCCTCCTCATTATGTTCATCATGCTTCCTGTTTCCATCCTTTACATTTTGATTACCAGCTTCCAAGTCTTCCTTATCCTCATAAGAACAAACAATTGTTGGGATATCGGTGTCTGAAAAGTGAATATAATTGTACCTTGTAAGATTGTTATACTTGAAGACTTTATAAAACAGTATTTTAAAAAATTAAATAAAATATTACCTGCAAATTTTGATTCCTCAAAGTTATACTCTTCTGATGTCACTGACGATTCTTCTTTACTGTTAAAATGAAAACAGGCTGTTATACTTTTGTTCTGAGGTTACATCTCCCAAGTAATTTTACATAAGAGGAAATTAAAGTCAATAGAAAGCCAAATAAATATCACATAACCTGTAAAATTTTCTGTATTTTTAAATAAAATCAATGCTTAGGATGATACAATAGTAAATATTGGCTCTACAAAATTATTAAATAATTCATATGGGCCATATTTCTAAAGGAGATTATGTTGCTCATATAAAATTTATACAATCAAAATAAATATACATGAATTTAGATTGTTCCATCATTCATCAATTTATTTTTTTTTCAAGTGAGACCATTTTCACTTGGTTTATACAATACAGTTTTATGAAATGGTATTCCAGTTATGTCATTTTAAATATTTCAATTACTATTTTATTTTTTATTTTACTCAAATATATTTTAGTGGAAAACATGAACATTAACTCTCTCTCCAAAAGGGGGAGCATTGTACAAGCTAATTTAAAATTGAAAAGCAGCTAAATTTATACTCAAAATATTTTATATGCAGATTGCCAGTAGCCAATTTTATAAGCAAGATTTCAGATCATTCAACGCAAGCATATATCTTCTTTTTTTAAAAAAATGATTCAAGTTACATCCACTTTTCTAGTGTACTTTGCATTCTGATTAGAAAAAAATAAGTACTTATTCCATTCAAACATAATCTGCTTGTAGCTGGATTGGTGGGATCATCAGAATTCAGCCTTTTTTCCTGACGTGTGGTAGGACAGACACTATTATTGAAGATGAACACTTTGTGTAATTACAGTCTGCATCAGTTTATCAGAGGTATTTGGCTCAGTAGCTACATTTTCCTGAATTGTCTCAGCTGAATTTTCATCTAATGACTTTTTTTGCAACTAAAGAAATATAAAAATTTGGCAATGTCTGATAAATTTGTGAAATGGAGCCCAGCTTTCACTGCACAGGCAATCCTGATACAAATCCCAGCAAGGTAGATTTTATTTTATTTTATTTTATTTTTTTTGGTTTTTCTCCGGTACCGGGAACCGAACTCACGACCTTGCGCTTGCCAGGCAGGCGCTTTTGCAGCTGAGCTAAATCCCCAGCCCCGCAAGGTAGATTTTAATTTAACAAATTACAAGAAAACGGATAATTCTTCCATTTTGCTTATGTCAGGAAGCAAATCATTCTTGTGTGTATTTATGATGTTTAGTTTTAATTTTACTAAAATCATTTTGTACCTCCAGTTGAGCCCAAAACAAAAAGTTATGTGTCAGTCTCAATGCAATTTCATTGGAAAAATATCCTTTGTATAAATGATACAGACTTTATCTACAAATTTACATTGTTTAATGAGGCCTGTGATTATGCAAAGATTTATTGTAAGGGAATCCAACTGCAAGCCTGGCTGGGTCCACTTTTCCTTTTCCCAGTACATAATATCTATGCATATAAAAATATATAAATTATAATACAGCTTTTAGTTGTTCTTCTTTCTTCCCATAACAATGCTAAAAATTTCATTCATAGAACAACAATAGTGGCCACTCAAGATTTTCAGTTTTTCATTCTAGTAGAAATGTTTTCATTCTTCTGGTTCAAATTTTAAAGCACTTTCAAGTTTAAGAAATTATTAAGTTAGAAGGAAAAAAAAAAACCTAATTTTTTAACTCATTTTGGGGACAAATGATTAGGGATCCAACTGTGCTTTATTTTCATAGTGTCTTATAAAAAACATGTATATATGAAAATAAGAAAAGCTTTACAATCTTGGTATGTACAAAGAAGAACAGTAGAAACAAGTGAAACAATACTATATCAAATATTCATGTAAAAATTAGAAAATATGGAAAATCCTTAAAAGGAAAAGAATAAAAGTGTATCACAAACTACGAAGGAAGAGAAAAATTGATAAATATACCATGTTCATAGATAGGAAGAAAATATTATGAAGGTACTAGTTCTCCTCCAAATTGATGTATCCATTCAATTCAACTCTAATCAAAACTAAAGGACACTTTTTCATAGCATTTAAAAATATGATCTTAATGAGAAGAAGATGGGTAATGATCACTGAACTATTTCTGAGAGATAACAGAGAGGGAGAAGGAACCTGCCTTGGCAGTTTTCCAGAATTTGTCTAAAGATTTAGGGACTAAAATAGAGTTAAATTGGTGAAAGGACAGACAAGCTTTCTCCAGAAACTGCAGTGAGAGCTTAGTAACAAAACTCCCCACATGTCTATAACTTTGGTGTATAGCAAATACAGGATGTCAGACAATAAATGCTTTTAAATAAATTCATATCATTTCTTTCCTCCATTTTCTTACTACTACATACCAACATTAGCATAGAATTCTTTACTCATTAAAGTTTAATTTTAAAAATGTATCTAATGTTTTCAAGCATACTTTTTACACCTTCTAAGGCTTTAATTATCATTCTTGCACAGTGTAGGACAATGCTTTTAATTCTGCAGTCAAGGAATTAAACACAATTTTAATTATTATACATATAGAAATTAAAAATCATTTTATGGGGCAATAGTTCACTGTACCATAAATTATTTAATGTAGTGATACATATTATTTAATCATAAGAGGGTCATTCATTCCCCTAACAGATACCTCCAATACTGCTGTGTACCACGCACTATAATAAACTCTGGAAATCAAAGGTGAAAAATCCTTAGAATCCTATCTCTAGGAAGTTAAAATGTAATAAACACATCAATGGGGCCATTATAATTATTATATTGAGTGATACATATTATCATACACAAAGAGATAAGATAGTGATTTTTCTACAGCCATCAAGACAGGACAGAAACAAGGAGGCCACTGTCAAGAGAATCTAAATTTTTCACAAAAGAAATGACATTCTAAATTAGGTTTGGAAATAGGAGATATTCCAATTAGAATAGAGTGATGATGTCATTCTAGGAAGATTTTAAAGAACGAATCATTAATGATGAAAGCACAGAAGGAAATGACATGTCCACGAACAAGATGTAAGATGTGCAGAGGGTTTGGATATGTTTGAGGACAACATCACAGACTGAACTGAGGGTTTTTGAGCCAAACTGCAAAGGGCTTACTAAGTGAGACAAAATGGAGGTGAACTCTTTGGGTACTTTTTAACAAGTAGAGTGAAAATGGGGAGGAAGAGGACAGAGAAAGAGAGAGAGAGAGAGAGAGAGAGAGAGAGAGAGAGAGGGAGGGAGGGAGGGAAGGAGAAAAACAAGGAGGAGAAGGCAAAGGAGGAGAGTGTAAGATTTCTTTTTTGGTACCTACTGCTGAATGTAATATAAAGGAGACCTGGGCGGGCCACAGTCAAGCAGGAGAACTAGTCATGACGCAACTCTTCAGGTACAAAATGGAGGGTTAAGAACTATTGTAAGAAAATGAAACACAAAATCATGTCATTTGCAGGAAAATTTATGAAATGGAAGATCATCATATTAAACAAAGTATATCTCATGTTTTCTTTCATATGTGGATTCTAAAAATGTTAGAAAACAAATGATCACCAGGAAATGAAGGGACACTATTAGAAGAGAGAAAAGGGTCCAAAGGAAGGGGAAGGCATGTAATAGCGGAAGGTGAAAATATTTGAAGTCTGTTGTATGCATGTGCAAGTAAACCAACGCAAAAAAAACTCACTTTTCTGCATAGCTAGTCTGTCCTCACACAGTACAAAGTAATTTTTTTAAAAAAATGATAATAAAAGGAAAGATCAAGAGAAGCAGATGTGAGCTAAAACTTTTAACGTAGTATCTATATGACTTCTTGATTTCTGGTAGATAGACTTTTTAACACCTTTCTCTGCCTAACTTTATGTGCATTCCTGGGAATTACAAGTCTGCAGTGATTTCACTTCCGAGAATTAAGTCAGGGATAGTGAAGCCCAGGGATCAAAGTGAGTCTTGAGGTCAATTCAACAAGGTGCTGAGTCAATCCGCATGATGGTTTCTGATGTTTTAAGGACTAGACCACCCACTTCTTAGGTGTTTCCGTAGATACAACCCTCAGCTTTTCTCCTTAATCTCTGGCACGCACCCTCACACTCTGGCCTAGGAAAGTACAGCTAAGCTGGTTTGTATTCTAGCACTTCGCTAGGAAGCATAAAATGTCGGGGCCATTAACAATCTGTTCACATGACTCTATACTATCCTAAGTAGTCCTTGTAAATTTGCTATATTAGATTTGGCTATTGTCTTGGTCCCTTTCCTAGTGGCTGGGAGAAAATACCCAGTAACCACAACTTAAAGGAGAGGAGGTCATGAATAAATTTGGGTCATGTTGGCCCAATGTTCAGTCAATGTTCACCAGACTTACACACAGAAAAAATAGGGCCCTTGATTTTGGGAACTTAAGGGGGCATGCACGAAAGAAAGGAGATGAATTTCACTGAAGGGAATGTGTCAGGCCTGGGAGATTTGACCAAACAAGGCATGAAGACTAGTGCCTTTTGAAAGGAAAATATTTGGGTGTTTAATTTTTCCTTTATTTCTCACACTATCACACTTGCACAATTTGGGATAAATTTGTTCCTATTTAAAGAAATGGGACATAATAGTGAAATTTTTAGATGCTAACCTAGAATAAGCTTTAACAATTTAACAGTTTACCCTGAGTGTCACTTGTTCAGGTGTTATTTCAACTAAATGATTCTTGTATTGGATAAATTTGATAACATTGTCTTTTTTTTTGTATTTTCTATCATATTATCTAAATAATTGAACTGGTCAATGTTAAATAAACATGCACTTATGATAGGAAACAGTAACAGTTTTCAGCCAATGTTTAAGTTTATAGTTTAATTTTTATAGTTACTCACACTTATTCATTCAATAACATTAAACAGATATTTTATTTAGCACCCTAAATTTCCAAACATTGCACTACTAAATCAACACAATAAACAAGGCAATGTCCACACCCTTAAAGGGCTCACATGCTAGTGGCAAAGCTGAACAAATTAAGAAATAAAGCAGTAAGTCCAGAGT